CAACTAGGCATCACTAACGTCACATATCTATTCCTGGATATAATCCAAGGTGTCACTGAATTATCAGAGTCACGCGTTTCCAACAGTAAATGCTTTTCATGCTTTCACCGAATGTGTGGATATCGCGACACGAAGGGACAATTATAATACGCTCCGGTCATCTCCATTCCGCGTAGCGTATACCCTCGATACCTTCTCGCCTTTTTTGCCTCTCCGCTGTGAAATGAAACTGCGATGCATGCACACTGCCCGCTCGTCCCTTTCTATCTTTCTCTTTCATTCGCTCTCTGCCTCTTTTCTCGCTTGTTCACCTCACGCTTCTCCCTCTTTCGGAACTCCTGCTCTCCTCCCTCCTGCTCAACCGAAGCTGAATGCGCTCGCCATTCCAACCCTCTTTCCTTCCCTCCTTCTCTTTTCCGATGATTTTTCTTCCTCTCCCTCGCTTCAAGCGCTCAAACCCCACCTCGCCTCCTTCTACCAGCTCTTTCTCATCTGCTACACTGCCATCCCTTCCCCACCTTCTGTTCTCTTACCAACCGGGCCGCACGAGAATACATATTTTACAGGCATTCATGATGGCCGCCGCACATCTGTGCGAACCTGCCTGCTGGGCTGCCTCTAGCTCGCCTCGGGCAGGCTCGCCCCCTTCAAACCAGAGCGATACCGGATCTGCCCAAGCTAAACCTGCGTTGTCTCTCTTACTCTCTTCGGCTACAATCCCACACCATTTGGATGCATCGTAGGAATAATTAATTTGTTCAGTTTTTATACATTTTATGATTTAATAGAAGAGCATCGAATTATTATTTTTCACTCGATAATATTATTTTTCATTGACATTCTGTAAAGATAAATATTAAATAAAAATGAACACATAGCACGTGTGAAAGATCTCTCTTCTTCGTAAAAGCTTATTAAAATTAAGAATAGTGAGTGTATCTAGTGAGAATATCTATAGACACTTCAAAAGAGTGAGTGCGAAAGTGAGATATTAAATAATACTCTATAAAGAGAAAATATCCAAGTGAAGTTTTACAAGTAAATTTATACAGACTTATAAAATTTATAAATGTGTTAAAAATGAAGCAAAATTTAACAATGCAACAATGTATAAGATTACACAAAACAAACTACGTCTGTTATTATCAATGATAATAAAATATATCAACCTTAAAGTAGGTATATAATGTTGATAAGCTGAGTTATAAATAAATATATTAATTATCGTATAGCGTATGTCAATAATGATTTTTTTTAATAACAACTTCTTCTAATTACATAATCACGAATTATTGTATAAATTTATACACACACATACTCACATACATACGTATATACAGCCAAACGGTAGAATATGCGACACTAGGCATTAGGCTATGTCTAGATATATCAACCAACTTCATCGTTGCTGCGTAGAAAAGAGGACAAATCTATATCCGTGCGAAACGCGACCGAAATTGCAGTCGTAATTGCGTAATATATCCCTTTCGCGGCTGTATCATGGTTGGAAGAAAAGCTACGGATAATAAGCGAACATGTATACTTTGTGGGTTAACTGCTCCTTTTCACTATACGATTCTTTGGCCGGTTTGCTTAGAAGTGCGTGCACTGATGGTCATTATTATGAAACCTGCGTTGATGTATGTATACATATATCTCATTATTATACCTATTATTCTGACGTGACTCTTACTCCATTATGCTCAAGCCTGTCTCTTCGAGCTACCTTTCACTCTCCAGTTTTACCAGTTTTACGACGATTTACCATGAGATGCGTGCGAAGTTATTGCCACTGATTTTAGTGTACCTATGTACGCTTATGACTGCATCGGCTCTCGAAGGCGCAAACCTGGCAAGCTGTGTTAAAACCTCGAGGGAGGATCGAGTTTTCTGTCGGTGGCCTCGCTCTCGTTTCTTTTTTCGCGGGATCCGGACGATTAAGTTCGGATTTTCATGGCGGCGTCCTACAGCCGTGCTTCTTTATGTGGTATCGCTTAACTAGATACCATGGAATTCCTTTGCATATATTAGGATTTCAGTCGCGAGATACAGTGGCGTAGAATCAAGGAAAGATATAAACTTAATGAGACAAAGAAATTAAAAAAAAATGATTACATTGTACATCTTACACATTCTCTTGAATCTTTAATATCACGTTTGGAGAACTTTATTACAATTGACACTTCAATAAAATTTAATAAAATTTGAGTCGATAAATATGTTATTATAAAACATATATGTATATTAGACATTATTTATATACATAAGTTCTAAACATATAAATTGTAAATTATAAGTATTTTATAAATACACTTTTATAATAGATAATTTAAAAAATTGAAGCAAATCAACTAAAAGATTTTGATTCTAATCTAATTTTGAAAAAAGAAAAATAAAAATACATAGAGGTCTCTTTTGCTTGAATTTTTTTAACATAAAATTTGCCATTGGTTAATCTATATTTAATCACTTTGTCGTTGACTTGATGTAATTCTAAAAAGACTATACCACATCAAATGAGCTACTTCTAATGAAAATCCTCTCTGAAATGTTGATTAATTTTTTTACTTTTATAAAATATTGTAAAGAAATGTAACAAGTTCTGGGAGGCACGATTAAATATGTATGTTGATACTAGAATGATAGACAAATGGCAATTCAGTGAATAAAATCGATGTCATTAGTCACTGTTATTCCCTTAATAAAATTTTTGGTAAAATGATCAAAAATCACAAAAGATTTCTTTCTTATAAGAAATAATGAGAAACAAAACCAGACATTAAAATAGTTTAATGATACAGTCTAACATTACAGTTAAATAAACTGATACTTTAATCCGCAAGAATAGTGAACAAGAGATTAATTGACTACGATTGAAGCGTTTAGCTTGTTCAGCTAAATTCCTTCTCATAAACATTACTTACTACTGATTTAATGTGTATACGCTTATACATGCATTACGTATATGACAATAGGAATCTATAAACGAATGTTTTGAATCATGTTGTACAGATGGCAGCATCTGCCAAGGTATTCCATATGAAGGTCAATATTTGAAGCTATGAAACTGTCGGAAGTTTTAATAGAGGAAAGTTTAATTAATAGCTCTTGGAAATTTATCTATATTTTTGTTTGTTTCACTATTCTTCCACAGCATCTAATTGAACTTATTACCAAGCTTTTTTAATCTCGTCATGTAATAAATCATCAACTACAGAATATTAAAGTTAATTCCATTTTGAAAAGAACTTGTCCCTTCTCGTATTTTTAAATTCCATATTTGTTAATTTTTACACACGCCCGTCGACATCGATTCGACGTCGATTCCATTGTCATTTCTCACTGGGGCAATCTTATATTAAATATTACGTAACGTATATATATATATATATATATATATATATGTCTTATATTTGTAAACTTAATAGTGTAATGCCGGCTAGCACATAAAAATCTGAATCACTGTTCTTTAAATGTTCACAGATTTGCTGGCGACCCATTTCTCTCGATTTACGGATGAACTACTCGTCGAATTAATAATTTTCGCCACCGTGGGATTTCTGTAGCAAACTCACGAGGTCGTAACCTTACCTGCACACTAGACAAAGAGTAAGCTGAAGAGCCGCGGGCGTGAATGAGAGATGGAGAAAGAAGGAAAGTAAAACGAAACCACAGGGTAGCTCACAATATACTCGTACCCTCTCTCTTTCACGTAACAGAGCGTTGCCCAATAAAAACGTCACGAATTCAGGGGCGAAGAGTTTCTGAGTGAACTCCGTCTGGTGGCGCCAGGTTACACCACGTTCCTGATCCACGGGGAGTTGCGTAAAGCTCACTGACTCGCTATCACACGCAAAGAGTCAAGGAGTGGTGGGGAGACTATGGAACGAGACGATATCTCGCACACACAGAGACGCGGCGAAATCAAATCGACGCTAGCGCGCTTCGCAGGAAGGGCGAGAAAGCGGTAGGACTAAGCGTCAAGGAAAACAGAGAGGATATCATGAGAAGTTCAAAGTTAAAGAGAGAAGAACGTAAATGGAGACAATGAAAGGCAGAGAGAAATCCATGAAAGAGAGAGAGAGAGAGAAAGAGAAAGCTGCATAGAATTGTAGGGTACCATGGATAAACCGTAAAAAATAGACGGAGTAAGTGAGAAGGCAACAAAGAGAAGGTAACAGAGAAGGGTTGATCGATTGTGATAAGAATGAAAAAGATGGAACGATCCTGAGGAACAGAAGGTGATGGAGGAATAGAGACAATGAACCTGAAAGAGAGACAGATGCAGAGAAAGAAAGAGAATAGGGTACGAATGAATAGAGTACGTGTAAAAGAGAAAGAGAAGTTGCTCGGAAGCCATGAGAAAAACAAAGAGCGGAAGCTTGGCAAGAGGGAGGAAGGTAGAGCTCGAAAGGGGAAGAGAGACGGAATGAGAGGGGTTGGTCGACCCTGCGCGTTATCAAGAGTCGCCCCTCCCGGTTGCTCCTATATCCACCCCGACTTTATATACCCCCCGTGCATCTAAAGAGTACATGCATTCGTGTGTGCGGTGGTGAAAACCCACACAACATTGACGTGGCTCGTCCCTAGACGTAGCTGGGCGCAGAGCGACGCCGCATGGCGTCGGCGTCGCGAGGTCGTCCCAGCGCTAACTCTCTAACGATGGCATCGTCGGCCAACCGCCGCCAGAGGAAGCCGCTTCTTCGTAGCTCATAACACGTTCCTGGATGACCGGGACGCCTGGACGGATCGGAGAACCCGAAGGACCGAGCACGAAGAGACGAAGAGACCCGATACCCGCGAGTGACGTGCAACGCCGAAGCGCCGCGACGCCGACAGTCGTCCGCGGGACGCGTCACGGTCGTCTCACAAGAGACCGAGGGCGTTTATACTAGCTGCATCATCCTCCAGTTAGCATCTGACGTATGAACGATATACGTCTCTAATCATCCTGTCTTATCTTCCAGCGTCAGCTATTTTCATTATTTTTTTATTCCTCGGCTGTGCGCATTCTTTCCCATTCTATCCGTTCTCTACGCCTCCCACATTTTTGTCTCGTCTCGACTCGCCCGTTCTCGAATCCATCTCTCTTTATCCTTGATTGCGTCGAGCGCTCTGTCCTTCGCGTCGAGTCACGACTCAGCGAATCGGCGAACGAAACGGAGCACATCCACCGTGAACGTCACTCGTAGCATGTAGACCGAACGGAGCTGTCATTCGTACGTCGACGTACTCGGAGTGTCTTCTGTGATTGATAATCCTAAATGTCCCTTCGGACTCCTCAGTGTGCGGTGCTTGATATATATCAGAAAAGGATCATACATCAGATTTCACATATCGGTTGATTTCAGTTGGCGATGCTCGAATAGGAGATCTACGTGATGACGATGTCTTAAAAATTAACCCGATCGCACAAAGGGAGACTCAGAGAAAGGATGGAAATGTAATTAATACCTAATAACATCAGGTTAGTAGACTTTTGAATTTCTTGTTCTATAGTTTAAAAATATTTCCAGATATATTATGACGATTGTGCATGATAAATGTATAGTAACAATGCATGCTCATTGGGTAGACGAATATTGATCGATTGTTACGCGAGCTGCCTTACATTTCGGTGGAAGATTTCCGCAATAGCCCAAACATCAGGCAACCAGTCCGACATCTCAGTACGCTGGGCTTCCAAACTCCATGGACTCTCTTTCGAGAACCATGATTTCGTTATGGGTCGCGAATTAATAAGGTCGTTTTATGACCGTTTTTCTCTTTTTTTTCCGCATGGGATTGTTTCAAGAACGCGTTAAATAAATCTTCGATCTATCGGATTCCGCAAAACTCTGAGACAAAAATTTTAGAATATCTGACCTTGCCAATATCCATTAATAACTCGTGTTATTTATATGTATCCGTAGGCTAAAACTCAAGAGATGGCCATGAAAAACAAAACGCGTATGGACTTCTACTGTGTATTGAGCAATTATTTCAATTGGATTCTCACAAGATCACTTCCATCCTGCACGAATCAGCAATATTTAATAAGTATCTTGTCTTACTCAGCTTGGATTAGACTGCAACCGGGATTGTTTACGGTGAGAAAAATACGGATGCTGTGACATTTTTTATGTAACTTAATTAAAAACTAACCAACATTTTACCTGGATTAGGAATGGAAGATATTAATGATCGAGGTCGTCTATCGCTTCATGCCAACAATTCCAGAAGATATAATTGTTAATCTACTCTATACGAGATGCCAGACTGCCGTCGATCTTATCAGGCTCTGCATCCTTGCCAGGGGCAGCCACCAGCGAGGCGTTATCCGATGAGGAATGTGAAACCCCCTGTACGTATACTGAATGTATCCTGAGTGTATTCCTGTCCGGTATACCTTCAGTATACGTAACAGGAGGCTACACCGAACAACGTTGAACTTCTTCATCGGCGCAGTTTCCCAATTATCAATAATCTTCATGCTATAAAACATAGAATCTTAAGAAGATAGAGAGAATAATAAAAATAGGATTACTTAGAATAATAAGATATTTCAATTACCTAAGATGTCGCAAACTGTACATGGAATATAATTATTTGTTTATTTTAAATACTTTTAATGTAACAAATTTTGTTAGATGTTCACATAATATTCGTAAATTTATTGAATGTATAAAGAGTACTAATAAAAGAATAAAAGAATTATGCAATTACATGTATAATTATAATATTATAATTATAATATTAATACATTTAGCGTATTAAAATATTAAATTAAAAATTTTTACATTAAATTAAATCATATAACTATATATAAACAATATTACATAGGTACAATATATATAAATCTTTCTCTTAGCATAAAACATTTTTAGATAATATTATACCTAATTAAATATTACGTTTTCTTAACCAAACTTATACCATACTTATAAAGATGATAATAATTTAATTAATTTACAAAATAACATTTGTTTTATATAAAAGTTAAACTTCTTTTTATACAATAAAAATTGTATTATTTTCATCCTATATCCTCTGTAAAGTAATCTCTATATATTTAATAAAATTGAAATAATTACGCGTTATATAAATCATATTTAATAAACAACGTAATATCATGAATAAAACAGCAACGAATTTACTGATATTATTTCCTTCAAATACCTTATCCATAAATTAAATACATCTAACAATAAGTATTATTTTGTGTACATACACGATAATCTTTAGAAACACAATTATAATAAGTAAATATATATACATTGTAAACAAAATAATGTATTTTTGAAAAAAAATCCGCAACCACAATATGTATATCTTCTATAAATATAAAAATAAAAACGAAATATGCAATGTGTAAATTATGCATATGTATGTATATAATTTAAGAATTAGATAACAAATTAAAGAATTATCAATTTAAAAAAGTATCAAGTTTTTATATAATATATCAACTGCTTGTCAAACAAAATGTAAAAAGATGTATAAAACGTATATTTTCAAACGTATTTCGAAACTATTTTAACCTAAATTAAATAATATTTTTAAACTTGCGCTCTACTGTCTCTAGCATTTGTTTAAACAGCAAAATCTATTTTGAGTAGAGCACAGTTAGTATCACTCTTTCATTAATTAGAAATAAAATAATCAATGTTACAATACTTCTTAAAATTAGATATGAAAAACATAAAAACCAGAAATATCTTATTAATCTATAAATAAAAGAATTCTAGAAAATCTCAAAATATATGCAATTCCGTGATATTCATTTTAAATTAAAAAATATTTTTCGCTTGATCTACGATAATTATTCTTTTTTTTTTAAATAATAAACTAAATAAAAAAAATTATTAGAAATTTTTAATGAATTATTTTATTTATACTTAATAAATTTAGCTCTTGTATGACTGTCTCTCGTTTATATTACCGACTTATTTGTATGACCTATGTTTAACAGAAATCATACATTACACATAATTGGATCATACATCATACATAATTGGATATTCACATTGCTGATTCCACATCGTACCAATTATGTTGGCGGAGGTACTGCGAGATAAGAGGGAAGTTACTGAATTCTAATTTTTAATTTTATATTGTTCAATTCTAACATTGAAAATGATCCGATGCGGATCGAAACGTTTGTTATTGCCGGCATTTAGATTAAAGTTATTGTATGTTTATTTTATTTTTATTTTTTAATTTTGACCATGTGTATTAACCTTGGCTTGTAGCTCTATTACCCATTTATATTAAATTTAGATCTGTTTTTTTTAGAGACATTCTATAAGAATAATAAAATAAATAAAATAATATAATATAATATATATAAATAAATAAATAAAATAATATATAAATAAAATAATTTACATACAAAAAAAAGAGAACTGATACATATTATTTATTCATTACAATGTGCAAGAACTAAAAAGCGTAAAATTAACTTTGTCGTAAGTATAAAGCACAAAACTTCCTAATAAATTTTCATCGATATAAATAAGAAATATATTGTTCTATTCAAAAGTGACATTTTTAGAGTAAGTAATAAACCTTCTTCGAATTTTATTGTATAAGATCAAGCTTGACAGATTTTCCCTTTTTTAGAGCGATCATAAAAAGAGTTAAAAGGAAAAGAATTCAGAGCGTCATTGTCGCTGGTTGAAGCGTAAGCAAATGGTATAAAGGGTTAGAGAAAGCAACCAAACGCAACAAAATTAGAAAGAATTAGAAAGCTAGGAAAGGGTTGTCTAACAAACTGTGAGTTAAAAATTTCACTTTTTTAGAAAATTCGTTCAGTTTACATCAGGTAGCGAACGAGTGTATACATCATGAGAATTTTCGAAGCAAGGTGCTGCTGGCGAAGATTCATAGTAGTAGGTAAGTTAATCATTTTGTGGATTTATTTAAACTTATAAAGAATGTTGATAACTGATCTCTTTGTTGATTACTGATTCCTTGAAACTTATTTTCATTTATATCTTGTTAAAACTTACATCTTCTTATTCTAAAAATGTCATTAAAACGTTTATTAAACGTTATATGAAACATTAAAAACAAACTTTAACGTTTTCAAGATGTTTCGATTTTAGACACATGGCTTCTAGGAATCTTTTCAATTTTAATAAAATATTGTTTCACGTAAAATTATTCGTGATATTAATAATATTAAACAAATAGAAGGACTCTTTATATAAATATTTACGTATTGACTCTTACTTCGCCCTTTATTTATTATTTTTATTAATAATATTTTCTGCATATATATATAAAGTAGTTAAGATTATGAAATGTTAATTTAACATATCTGCTTATCAAGAAATATTAATCTAACAGACATTGAAAGAACTGAATATTTTTATTTAAATACACATTATACACATATACTTTATAAAATATAATTCTTAATATATATGTACATTCCGGTAGTTCCTATTCCTTTAAGTCAAACAAATTATTTTTTACTAAAATGCATATAACAAAAACAATATCTAAATTTTTATAATAAAATTTTCTTAAAATAATAACAAATAAATAGTTGTTACATCAAAATGATTAACGGGCAATCGTGGTTGCAAGAAATGCTATCGCAAAGATAAAGTACAGTCTTTAAATTTATCCTACAAAATAACGAAATAAAAATTTCAGTTATTCAAGTAATCATGATGAGATAAAATCGCACAAAATTTTGGTAAAAATTGCGAAATATACAAATGGACCAGAAAAGTAACTCAAGCTTCTTTTTCTATAAATGAGCTATTGTGTCATTACGCCGCGAATGCGACGCTTTTCCATCGTAGACGTAGCGATATCTAGAACATCGAACTAGCGAAATAAATTTCACGTGGCCCCACGGCAAGGAACGCAAAGGGTCGCATAGCCGGAGGATAACTTTGAACATGTCCGACAAACATGAGAAATAATAAAAAATAAACCTAACTTTACTCGTGGCGAAGAGATCGACGAAGTGAGATAGAGATAGAAGGAACGTAGGAAGATAAAGATAGGAACAAAATTCAGAATGAGATGAAGGACGGGAAAAAGACGTCAGTTTAGAGCGAGAAAAACTGAGAGGAAGACAGAGAGATGTGCCATTGAGAGTGTTGGATAAAAAGAGCATCAAGGAAAGGAGACGGAATGAGAGACATAGAGATGGAGTAAGATGGAAATGGAGGTACTCTCACTCTTTCTCCCTCTTCTCGCGGCCAATGAGTCGCCGTCGTTTTGATGGCCCAACCCTCGGAGCAACATGGCTGCCAAGTGCAAAAGGGAGCTTAAGTAAGGGTTAGGTTAGGCTAGGCTCTCGTCCTTTCTGGACCCGCTGCTTTTGTGGGAGAGCTGCGCGCAGCTGGAGTGGGATGGGACGTTGTCAGCCATCATGGGATAGGAAATGCAACGCTCCGTATCTCCATGGTTCTGGCAACTTTTGAAATAATGAAAACCTAATCCGCAACTTCTGTGTCTAAATAGTTGAGATGATCCTTACTATTCGCGCCAGTATTTGCAACGAATATCGTTTTAATCGTGTTCGGGCAGAGAATTTCCAATATCAACAGCAAGTGCACGTGAATTAAATTAATTTCAAACAAGTTAGCATATTCTTGCAATATATTTTGTTGGATATTACAGAAATCGCTGCCATAAATTTCATGCGAACAACTTTCTGTCATGATTCTGCTACGAGTGAAAAACGAAATTAATTTATCGCTAATTTTATTTTAAAGAAAACAGAGCGATTTGGAGAGCTCGATCAAGTTAAATCGTTCACAGGAAAAAACAAACCGGTTGCTGACTTTACTGGTTGCTACCAAAAGCAGGTCCGCTAATTTATCATTTTTCATATCGCTTGAATATATTCAATGATCAATAATTGGCTTCTAAAATCCATAAGTTTCTGTGCGTACTAATATTAATGCAGCATTAACCTATGATACCATAGAGATAATTACAAGAAATTTTACGCAAATGCAAGATAAGGTAATACGATAAGAATCAATCGATTGTATGTTTATCGTTTTTACTTTCGTTAAAAAACACGGAGTAAATTTGTGTTATCGCTTCACTTTTAAGAAAATGTTTATAAGTATTCTCCAAATATATTGTGAAATAATTCAAAATAATACTTGAATTTATAAATATTTAAACATATATTAACGAATTAAAATAACTGTTTGATTAAATTATTATTGATTCTTTAGAAAATATTTTTTATCATTTAGTGTATGTTATTACGTCAATATTACATTTAGATTATCGAAAACATTATATTATTTCAAGTATTTCTGATATTACTTTTATTAACTTCAACGTGTTTATAAGAATAATATATTCA